ATTTTGATTGCCTGGAGCCAACTGTGGGCCGTTTCGTGATCTTCGTGTTCCCAGAACACCAGTCCTGCGTCATATTTGGAATGCCCGAGCTGAGGCAGGCTGAGGCCGAGGCAGGCTGAGGCCGAGGCAGGCTGAGGCTGAGGCTGAGGCACGCCGAGGCAGGCTGAGGCTGAGGCTGAGGCTGAGGCTGAGGCTGAGGCTGAGGCAGGCTGAGGCTGAGGCTGAGGCGGCTGAGGCTGAGGCAGGCTGAGGCTGAGGCTGAGGCAGGCTGAGGCTGAGGCGGCTGAGAGGCTGTAGGCTGAGGCTGAGGCTTGAGGCTGATGCAGGCTGAGGCTGAGAGGCTGACGCTGAGGCTGAGGCAGGCTGGCTGAGGCTGAGGCCGAGGCAGGCTGAGGCTGAGGCAGCCGAAGCAGGCTGAGGCTGAGGCTGAAGCTGAGGCAGGCTGAGGCTGAGGCTGAGGCTGTGGCTGAGGCAGGCTGAGGCAGGCTGAGGCTGAGGCTGATGCAGGCTGAGGCTGAGGCAGGCTGAGGCTGAGGCTGAGGCAGGCTGAGGCAGAGGCCGAGGCAGGCTGAGGCTGAGGCTGCAGGCAGGCTGAGGCTGAGGCTGGCTGCAGGCTGAGGCTGAGGCTGAGGCTGAGGCTGCAGGCTGAGGCCGAGGCAGGCTCAGGCCGAGACAGGCTGAGGCTGAGACTGAGGCTGAGGCTGAGGATGAGGCCGAGGCAGGCCGAAGCTGAGACAAGGTGAGGCTGAATGGGGGGGGAAGGGGGGGGGGGGGAGGAGGGGAGGCTGAGGCAGGCTGAGGCCGAGGCAGGCTGAGGCTGAGGCTGAGGCTGAGGCTGAGGGCTGAGGCTGAGGCGAGGCTGAGGCCGGCTGCAGGCTGAGGCTGAGGCTGACAGGCAGGCTGAGGCCGAGGCAGGCTGAGGCTGAGGCTGAGGCAAGCCGAGGCAGGCTGAGGCTGAGGCTGAAACTGAGGCAGGCTGAGGCATCCGTAGGAATCCATAGGAATCCTTAGGAATCCCTAGGAATCCTTGGGAATCCGTAGGCATCCTTAGGAATCCGTAGGCATAGTTAAGCATCCTCAGGAATCCTTAGGATTCCCTAGGAATCCTTTGGAATCCCCAGGAATCCCTAGGAATCAGGATTCCTACGGTTTCCTAAGGATTCATATGGATTCCTAAGGATGCCTAAGGGTGCCTTAGGAATCCCTAGGAATCTTTAGGATTCCATTGGATCCTAAGGCCGTTGCCACTGTGACTGTCATTGCGAATGTGACTGCGACTGCGAGAACAGCAGAATTCTACAACTGGATTCTCACCTGAATCTTAAGGGGAATACTTCCACATATGCTTGTACACATCGCTGTTAGGTTGCTTTGCCGGGATGTTTGTTTAACTCTGCGCAGGCGCGTAGCCGGAAGTCAGAGGAGGGAAAGGTACCCATACCTCTACCCTCCGCCCGCTTTCCCCTTTCTGGGCCTCCTCGGAGGCCCTCGTCGCCACCGCTGGATTCGCCTCGAAATTCTGGCCAGAAGGCTCCCCGGGAGCGGTCTGGGGAGTAGCGGCATCGGTACTTTTTGGTCTCCCCAGGCAGCAGCCCTCTGGGCGGGCATGCCGCCCCCCGACGCTCGTCGGGGGGCGAAGCGCTCTGGAGGGCGCCGCCGGAGAGGCGGCGCAGTCCGGCCGCGGCCACCTCTCGCGGGGGCCGCCTCGTGGTGGCGGCCCCTGGCCGTCCCGGATCCGAGAGAGGGTCGGGGGCGGCAGGGGGGGGGTGATTAAAACGACGCGAAGATCGGGACAAAATCGGATCGGGATAACTCGAAATCTCTGAGAATCGGCGGGTTTGGAGGATGTATTGGGCGCCGCGGCCGCTCCAGAGCGTTCCGGAACGCTCTGAGAGCGCTCCGGAACGCTCTGGAGCGATTTATCCCGATCCTAGCCCTGTTTTAGTGATGACTGCTCAGGGGCGGCAGAGAGGGGGGTGATGGCTAGGGGGGGGGGTATCATGGCGGGGGCCATGATAGTTCCCCAGATTTCATGGCGCCTCTTCTTGTTTCATGACGTTCCCGGCCCCCCCACTGGGCGGCGCACATGCCGCCGGCCATGATTTGCACGCCCCCCTCTTGGACACCCCCCTCTTGGCCGCTCCCGAAGAAGGGGGGGGGATGGCTACAGTCAACTCGCATGGTGAGGACGAGCAACTTTCGAATGTTGCCCTTGCATCCTTCCCCCCTTCGGCCCATCCTTGGCCGCTTTCGCTGGCCGCGCCCCGCTTGCAGAGTGTCGGCATGGCCTTCCAAGGCCCTCTCATCCTTGTAGTGCATCCTTATGATGCGGGTCGGCTGTAGGTGGTTGTGAGTATCACGGCGAGGGCCATGTATCTCCCCAGATTTCATGGCGCCTCTTCTTGTTTCAATGCGTCCCCGGCCCCTCCCCCCTTGGGCCGCGCACATGCCGCCGGCCATGATTTGCGCCCCCCCCTCTTGGACACCCTCGTCTTGGACGCCCCCGAGCGGGGGCAGGCGAGCTCATGAGGGCAAGCCGGGACGGTCGAGATGGATGCGGAAAGAACGGTTACAGAGAGCATCGTGACAATTCTTGCCCGAACGCTTGTCTGGCGTGCAAAACAAGAACGAGAGGTGCACGCAGTCGCAGTTTCCTGAGGTCCGACGTCGCGAAATAGATGCAGCATCGTGGAACATAGCGACCCCATGTCTCGAGTCGAATCGATCCGTGAGGGCCCGGGGGCACGAAACTGGGCGAAGGCGCCCAGCGCGAAAAATCGCGACGCACAGATCCAGGTTACCGAACATGTCTGGTAATGCTCTGAACGACTCAGTCGCGACCGAATTGCGGCCTCTGGTCGCGAGTTCTCCCGGTCACGAGCGAGCCGTCGACGTCTTCGAAACCCTCGCTGGAACCCCGACGCGCCGTCTCTTCGCTGTCGGGATTCGCAGCTGCGCGCCCCAAATCCGTCGGCGGTACGCCCAGGGGGGGGGCAATGACCCTGACCTTCCAGAGTGCTAAGAAATAGCTCTCCAGACCTATGGACCTATCTGGGCTGCCTAAAACCTCGACTGGAATTCAGATATCGAGGTCCTGGTGCTATTTTTTTGCCCTCCTGGAAGGTCAGGGGAGAGGGATACTGCCTTCTCAGAAGGCGGCGGGGCTTCTCAGAGGCCCCCTGGCCTTCTGAGAAACTGTCGGTGCCTTCGGGGAGGGCTCGGAAAGCTTCTCAGAAGGTCCGAGGCCTGCCGAGCGCTCTGCGAAGGCCCGCCCCTCCTCACTTCTCGACCATACAGCCCGGGCCCTGAAGAAGGAACCCTTTTCGTTGGGGAGGGGCTCGGTGTTCCTTGATTGTTCTACAGTTTGCATTCTGTTTTCCTGAGGTTTTCCATGGGAAATTGAAGTTCAAATTATGGGAGAAAGGGGCCCCGTTCCTTATTTTGGGTTCCTTAGGTCAACGCCCCGACTGTACGTAACGGTGGCGGTCGCTGGGGTGAATTTTCATGAGGGCCCAATGGGTCCTCCGATCGCGGAGCGCGAAGCGGTAGCAGCGACTCGCGCGACGGGTCTGGCCACCCAGCTTCCCCCGTGCAGTCGCGCACCAAAGGCCTTGATTGCCAAGGCTCGTCCTCACGTGTCGCTGAGCTTCCGCCCCAGGCTCGCCGCCAAAATTCTGGCGCGCCCCAAGTCCGTCACCGAGCCTGTCCGGTCGCGGATGATCCAGTTTGCCGTCGGGGGGCCGCCTGCGCGCCAGGGTCGAGCCTGGGCCCGCCCCCATTGCTGGCACGGTCGCGGGGGGGGGTGCTGAGGGGATGGGGTGCTCGCAAGCGGACGCGGTGGGCTCTGTCTGGCCGAACCTAGCTTCGAAGGCAGTCCCCCTCGGGCCAGGAACAAAATCACCGCGGACGGTCCTTCGTGATTTTCGATCTCAGCAACCGACTCGGGACGAAAAACCTGTACAGGGGAGCGGGTCGAGACCTTTGGGGGTCGACGCCATTGAAAGATTATTACGTCCGGGGTCTGGATTATAAGCGGGTTTCATGTGCCCAAAGTGTTTTAGGGTTTCGTGTGATTAGATCACTCCGCGACTTGGGCTCCACCCACTCGGGCCAGATCTGCATTCCCCCTTAAACCTCTGAGGGCACTTGTAGCCCACCTCTAAGCCAGGTCAGGCTAGCTATAGCCCGCGCTCAGCATCCGCCTCCGACACCCCCCTATACAGTCGAGGCGCTGCAGGAAGGACCACTCCTCCTCCTCCTCCTCCTCCTCCTCCTCCTCCTCCTCCTCCTCCTCCTCCTCCTCCTCCTCGTTTTCGGGCCGCTCCTCGCATCCAGGTCGGGGCGCCCGCTCGCGGCCGAGACTCGACGTGGCCCGGAGAGCCCCTTTGCTCCCCACAGTCAGGCCCCCAGAGACCAGGACACAGATTAACCAGGACACGGAAAACCAAGGAAACGACATCTTTTCCTGCAAGGTCACGTTTTTCAGCACCCGTGCATGTTTTGCTTGCTGCACTGCAGGATTCGGGTTGTGTCCCGGTCTAGGGGTGTCTTGCAGGCTTTTGAGGCCTGTGTCCGGGTTTATTCTGGAAATGCTGCAGTGCATTATTTCGCTCGTGCCGCCGTTTGGAAAATTCGGTTTCGAGGGATGTTGGGTGTCCGGGTCTAGCGTGTCGGGGTCTACGGGGCCCTGACACGGCAGGAGCGCAGCATGCCGCGCTCCTGCTGGCAGTGCCCGCCCCCCGCCGCGGCCACCACGGCCGTCTGAGAAACTGTCGGTGTCTTCGGGGAGGGCTCCGGAAACCTCTCAGACGGTCCGAGGCCTTCCGAGCGCTCTGCGAAGGAGAAGGAGGAGGAGGAGGAGGAGGAGGAGGAGGAGGAGGAGGAGGAGGAGGAGGAGGAGGAGGAGGAGGAGGAGGAGGCCCGCCCCTCCTCACTTCTCGACCATACGTAACGGTGGCGGTCGACTTTGCCCGCCCCCCGCCGCGGCCGCCCCGGCCGAGGACGCCGAGCTCCTCCCGCCCGGCGCCCCCCGCGCGGCCGCGCACGGGTGAGGCGCCCCGCGGGCGGCTCTCCGACGCCCCTTCGGGGCGGACGACAGGGGGGGATGGATTGGGAAAGGGGGTCCTCCTCCTCCTCCTCATCCTCCTCCTCCTCATCCTCCTCCTCTCCTCCTCTTCCTCCTCCTCCTCTTCCTCCTCCTCCTCCTCCTCCTCCTCCTCCTTCTCCCCCTCCTCCTCCCTCTCCTCGTCCCTCGCCTCCTCCCTCTCCTCATGCCTTTCGGTTCCGAAATCTGCTGCATGCGGCTGGTTTCGGCCCCGCCGAGGGGCCCCTTCCTCGATGCATGGCCGCCTCCCGCCGCCGGGAGGCGCCGGGAAGATCAGCCACGTGAGCTGATTCTCACCCCCCCCCTTTCCTATATCTCGGGCGAGCAGACCTGTGCACGTGCACCGATCCTTGCCAGGAGCGTCCCAGGGCCCAGCATCGGTGTATATGCCTCCCTGGCCAAGCCACGCAGGCGTACGCACCGATCCTGGGCTCAGGGTGGGCCTGGCCAGAATCGGTGTCTGTGCATCGTTTTCTTTCCTTTCCCATCCCTTACCAGCCTCGAGCGTATCCCTATCCCTACGATTGACACGCCAAAAGGCGATGACAATCTCTAGGGATCCGCCCCCAAAAATGAAGGGAACCCCTAAGGTTGGCATCGTGATGAGGAGGTGCCCAGCACAGGGATAGGGATATGTTCCAGGCTGGTAAGTCCCGGGCTGGAAAACTATTTCTTTAATCGATCTCCTCCAGTCAGAACATGGTGCAGAAAGCGCAGAAGACTAGGTTTTTCATCGCTGTCTCCAATCTTTTGAACTAATCGTCATCCCGCATGATGTGCATCCGTTGTCTGTCCTTTCCCATCCCCCCGTTCGCCCGGCGCCGGCGTCCCGGGCGGCTCCCGGGCACGGCGGGGCGCCGCGAAGGCCCGAGGCGCACTCTCCCCGCGCGGCGCGCGCGCGGCGCGCGCGCGCTCGCGAGGCCCCCGCGCGCCGCCCGGCGGAGCAGATCGGAGGGGCCCCCTGCGAGTCATGAGGAAAAGTCCGGAGGGGAGAAAAACACACAGACAGGAAAATACGCCAGTTTTCGTAATAAAAGGGAGGGGGTCTGGACCCTCCAAGACAAGCCATTTCAGACCCCCCCCCCCGTGGGAGAACCCTCCAAAACATCGTCCCCAGACCCCCCCAGGCCCTCCAAGATAGCCTGGAAGAGACCCACCCCGAAATGAGACCCCCTCCCTTTTATTACGAAATCTGGAGTACGCCCATCCCCCTCTCCCATGCCTCATTGCGCCGGTCTTTTCTGTCCACGGGCACGTCGGAGCCTGAGCTGTGGGACCTGCGGGGCAGGTGGGGACTCTGGGGTGTGTGCGGCTTGTGGGGCAGGAGGAAATGGGCGGGTGATCACGGCCCCCCACCCCCTGGACTGAACCTGCCTGTCCAACCGATGCCCCGGAGGGTCATTTCTTTCCCCCGATGAATCTCCCATCCCAAGGAAAATACGGGGAAATATGGGAAGTGGGGGGGGGAGACGAGAACCCAGAGAATATTAGAAACAATTGGCGTTCCTGTTATTTGTGTGTATCTATTTGTGTGTCCCAGGGCCCCTTCAAAAAGCACGGCGGGAGGTTTGTCTCTGCTTGCAGCCTCCAGGGGCCCTTATACCGGGCCTCGGGATCCCCAAAAAGCGATTCGGGTGAGGAGCCGGTCCCAGGGAATGGGTCGAGACCCCGGGGGGGTGAGCAAGATCTTGACGTCGGGGGTCGGGCACGTCGTGTGGTCGACCAGGGAGCCAAGCAGCTCGGCGAAGGCAGTTGGTGCGTAGACTTGGAGTTGGAGTCTGAGGGTCTGAGGTTGCCCGGCACTGGTTCCTGCCAGCGGAAGGAGGAGGAAGGGGGGCCGTTCCGGGATCCCGCAAAGGGGGGGTGCCCCAGTGTGTCTGTGAGAGGGAGAGAGAGAGAGAGAGAGAGTGAGAGAGAGAGAGAGTTCGATCGGTTTTTGCACCGAACCGCCCACAAGATATGCCCCCAAGCCGCCGGCAACTCCCGATCTGTTTGTGGCAGTTCGGTGCACCAGCGGATCGAACTCATGCCCCCTGTCAGGGTCACCCCTCCCGCTTTGGTGGATCCCGACCCTTTTCGTCCTCGTGGGTGTCCTTGGGGCTTCTCGCCGCCACGGCTGGACGCGGTTCGCAGGGCTGGTGCGGCTGGACCCCGGGAGGGGTCGGGGGACCGATTTTGAGTGGATGCGGCGTGCATCCTCCCCCCCTCTTGGCCGATCTTCTCGGGGCTCATCCAGCGCAGTCCCCCTTGGCCGCCTCCAGATACAGCAGACGCTCCAGCGCCCCGCACGCCGGGCAGCTGGGACGTCTATATAGGCCGAGCTCCTGGGCCGACCAGACGACGTTGTGTACACATCGAGCCCCTCCCAGCGCACACTCATGGGTTCGAAGGTCGAGGATTTGAGGGAAAGAATGCGCGCCTTCACCCGCACGGGCCCCCCTCCCCCCCTCTGGGTCTTGGCCAGAGAGTTTCACAACTAGATGGCACGGATGTTTCGCAAAGGGTGGCACATCAGGTTTTCCCCACCCACCCGCCACCGCCCTCCTGGGAGGGGGGCCAGATGGGGTGGGGTGGGGCCTCCTCTTGCTCCCCTACAGGATCGAGGCTGCTCGAGGATCGGCAGTCGAGGGTCGAGGTGTGGGGGTCGAGGCCGCTCAAGGACCCAGGTTCGAGGGTCGAGCCTGCTCGAGGTTCTCCAGAATCGAAGGCTGGTGCAGTGGGCTGGTCCTGGGCCCTCTTCGAGCCTCCGGGGCTTGCCCTCGCGGGCACGGCCGCACTTGCCTTGGCATTCCTGGCCAGGGCGCTACCCAGGATCCGTCGTCGTCCTCGTCGTCGCCGTCGTCGCCGTCGTCGCCGCCTTCGTCGTCGTCGTCGTCGCCGTCGTCGTTCTATCCAACATCCCCAGTCGTCGACATAGGAGGAGGCGGAGAGGAAGGAGGAGGAGGAGGAGGGAGGAGGAGGGAGACGAGGGGGACTGGGGAGTAGGGGGTGGTAGGGGGGGCGTCCTACGCTTGTCCATGGCTTTGACAGACGGCCGTGGCAGTGCCACCCACGGAATTCTGCGGCTTCGAGATGATCCTGGAGGGCTGGAGCAGGAGGACAAAGGTGGGGGAGGGGGAGGCGGGAGGCGGGAACCAGGGGAGGTCTTCGGGCATTCGTGGGCCCCGGAGTTCCGCACAGGCTCTGCAAGGCTCTAGGGAGGTTCGGGGCTTGAGGCTGAGGATGCGGCTGGAGGAAGAGGTGGCACGCGCTGATAGAGGGGGGTAGGGGTAGGGAGGACGAGGGGGAAGAGGGAGGATGACGAGGGGGAGGTGAGAGGGGAAGGCTTTGGAGGGTGTGGCTGGCGTTGACAGGTGCATGGGGCGCCACGGGCTGCAGAGGAGCCTCTGTGTCCTCCTCCCCCTCCTCGTTCCTCCTCTTCCTCGCCGCGCCCTCTCCTTCGCGAGGCACGCACGCAGGTTAGATGGCACACTCGGGCAGTGGAGTCGCCACTGCCACGATTCACTGCTGTCTGGTCCTCTGGCTTCATGAGATGCAGGTCCACTCCGCGAGCAGAAAAGTTGACCCTTGCGAAGCGATTCATCTGTCTCGCCCACGGCGTCTCCTGGCTCTTGTCCGACCGCCGCAAAGCTAAGTTCAATTGTCAGTCTCATCAGTCAGCTCATGGATCCTCCTTGGGGAGCGCCTCACTCACTCACTCACTCACTCACTCACTCACTCACTCACTCACTCACTCACTCACTCACTCACTCACTCACCCTGGCCGGCCCATTGATCTCGCATAAGGCGCAGGTGACCATCGCGAGTGGAAGTGTTGTCCCCTGCGGAGTGCTCCATGTCATCGCCAACCAACGCCAATTAGCCCAAGGCAGCACACGAGTCCGCCACGGCCGTGTCCCTCAGCTGTCCGCTTGGTATCTCCTACGTGCACCGTGGACGTCCGAGTCGTTGAGCTCCGCGAAGACACGCGTAGAGCGGGCCGAATCTTCACACTCTGGGGACCCCGTCCCGCGAGTCCGAGCGACGCGCTACATCTGCTTGCAAGAAGCAACGTGTCGCCTCGGCCGCCGCCTTGTGACACACACGTGCTGGCGAGGCTCAAAACTGGATCCTGGCAGTCGCCTGGGCTTGGTTGGGATCAGGAAGTTTGGCTCAGCGTGTCGCGCCCGCCGGTTCTGGCCTACCACGCTTTGGAGCGACACACTATCCACGTCCCAGTCCCCGAGCGTCAATGTCCCAAGCCTTTCCAAGACTCCCGCCACGCGCAGCGGAGCGACACGATATCCGCTTGCTGGGCATAGCGACATGTCAAAGCAGAAGTACCCGACCGTGTTGGAGTAGCAAGCGGGCTATAGTTTGTGTTTGCTGTGTCGCAGGCCAGATTTGCACCTGGCCTCCGACTTGCACAGTGGTATCGCGAAGTTTTGTTTCGAAGCAGCTCTTCGGGTGAAGGCGCAGGCCTCGTGGCAAGACAGTCCACGAAACATGGGGCTGCACTGAGAGTGTGTCACTGACATGCCAGCTGAGGCGGGAAGGGGCAGACCATACGGCCAGCGTGCGAACGTAATTCATGGGAACAGGCAGGTGAGGTAGAGGGAACCAGGAACGACATATGGGGTGAGTTCATTGGGGGGAGATGTAGCTGGGGGGCGGGTCAAGCAAAGCAAGCAGGGCAACATAAGGGCAGGGCCGGAAGAGGTGCGGTGCCTGGGTAGCCATGGACGGATTGGTGCAGGCACAAGGGTGGGGGGCGCTGGAGAAAAGATCGGGGGACAAATTGTTCGGGAATGGTGTGGTCGCGGGTTCACTTTACATTCGAACTTCTGCTGCGCGATCAGTCCCGTCCTTCTTATGAAGGCAGCTCTTTGCCGGCGCCCCAGTCCCCGTCAACCTCCTCGTCCTTTTCCCTCATTGTTTTTTGTGTTGTGGGCGAGGATTACAGTGTACTGGGAAGCCGTTTCATGCGGGTGACGGCATTGTGACAGTGGGCAACACATTCAGAGGGTCAGGATCGGTAGTGGTGA